TTTCTCGTGTGCCGAATAAAAATAAAAATGTTCCTAAATAAAAAAATTGTAAATTAAGTTTAACGCAAGTAAAGTCTGCCAGACGGCGAACGTAAAACCGAGCCCAAACGCAAAATACAGTTTGTAACAACCATCAACGAAGACGGCGACAAAAATTCCATTCCGCGAGAGGAAGTGAGAGGGACGACTCTCTATCCTCGTCGTCAATCAAATAATCGCGAAGCGATAGAAGCTTCTGGAACAAACTAGCTCGCGATCCGCGGTAGACTCGCGGTTGTACGCGGGAGACCCGCGGTTTCGCGCGGGAAGCCACTTAGCGACGGTCATTAGCAACGGTCAAATATAAATTTACAAGCATTCTTGCTGTACTCTGCTGGGAGAGAACGAGGTATTACCATCGGTCGCCCTTCAGAGTGGGAGAGTACGAAGCCTAGCTTTCGGACGCCCTTACAGCACAGGAGAGTACGGGGACTGGGTCACTCTCTGGAGGAGAGAACGGCTGGACTATCCGCCGGTCGCCTACCAGGAGAAGTGCGGGTGGACGCTCCGATCATACGCGTATCACTTGAATATTGTGATAGGAGAGTACGGGAGCTATACCTGGGTCGCTCCTGGAATGGAAAGAACGGCTGGACTATCCGCCGGTCGCCTTCCAGAGAGTAGAGTACAGGAGGCTCACCGGACGCCTTTCCATAGTAATTGTTATAAATCGGAGGATTCCAATAAATCGTTTTATCCGTTTCGTTAATGTTGTAACGGGAGAGTACGGCTGCTTAAAGCCGGACGCCCGAAAGCAAAAGCAACAGCTCGAACACTGCATTGATTTATTCGAATTTATTCTGTATCAAACATTTGACATGTATCGACGAAAGATAAATAAACTTTTGTGTGTTTTTTCCCAGATACCAAAGAAAATCCTTTCATTCTGAAAATCCTACTACAAGTTTTATTTAACGTTATATACCGTACGGAGATAAAAATGTTGATAATTACTAATATGGGACCAACTTTTTCTTCTTCAACCCAAAAATTTCATTCTACTTATTCGTCGCTATTTACATACACTGGAATATACCTAAATACGTAGTAATGTGAAATTTATATTTTTCTGGCAATCAATTTAATTACATAAAAGATTTATATACAGGTCAATTTCAAATTGAGAGGGTCAGAAATATGAATGATCACCTGAAGGTTCACTCAAGCACCTGAGAGTTGAACAACGGGATAAATCATTCTCCTCGATAAATCATTTATTGGTATAAATGAGCAGGTTAATCTCATCTCGATAATTAGAAGATGAAGAAGAAAAATTCTCCATTGAACTTCGTAGCGGTCCAATCGATCTTTAAGAGGGAACGATCTCGAATAGCCAGCTTTTAATGCGGAAATTTATGCGGAATCCCGCGTTAATAGGTTGTAAGGAATTAATTTGATTTTTTACCCAATTTCTACGGTAGAGTGAATCGAGGCTTGGCGAAAGAAGTGGCACAGATAAGAGCGTAGATTGAATTAGAAATGGTGAAATTTTCACGAAAGAATACGGATACGTTGCGGTTCTAAAGGGTAAGGGGAAGGAATATTGGATTTTTCCAGCAACAAAAGGGCCAGTTCTTCATAAAGGATCGTCGTTGACGTTTGTTTGCGATTATTGCGGACGGGGAAAAGGAAACTGCGACGAAAAGGATCAAAATTGGATCGTGCTTGGACTATTACCGGGCAAACAATGCTGTGAGGGGAATATACTATAGGACACCATAGGTGAGGCAACAGAAAGTGACGATTTTCAAAGAGCCCACTGTGCGACATTCAGGTTAAATCGAGATGAAAAAGTTTCTTTCAGAAAATAGTATAATGCAATTTATCAAGTATTCAATTGTCTTTTGTGCATAGTTCTCCTAATAACAGCTTTAATTTTTTACTCTCTAAATAAACCTAATTTACAGTTCTCTTTTTCAAGAAAACAAGATTCTTCAACTTCAACCTGAAATTTCTATTCTCCGAATAAACCTAATTTATACTTATTTAAAAACAAAATTCTTCCATGTTTAGCCTAAATTTCTAATCTCCAAACAAACCTAATCTATTTATAATTATCCCTAAAAAAAAAATTCTTCACTGTCTACTCTCAAGCTTCTGCTCACTGAATAAACCTAATCTATACTTATTTCTTTAAAAAAAAAAAGTTACTAATCTTCTTGTCTCTAAACAAACCTAATTTATATTCATCTTCTCTCTCTAAAAAAAAAAGAGGATACC